CTCCAGCCTCTCTCCTCCAGGATCCAGCGCAAGTCCCCAGAGGTATTGCCAGCTGGGTCCCAGGGTGGGGTTCCAGGAGCAGACAGACAGCTCAGCCTCCACCTCTATCACCAGCTCCCCCTCCTCCTCAGCTCCAGCCAGCCCACAGAGCACCGTGAGTCACTTAAGAAATATGTGCTCATATGCATGAAGAAGAAGTGTATACTATAGGATATGCATTTGCTTCAACTTGTGTTGCCTAACCTTTAAAACCTCAAACCTGTTCCCCAACAGTGTTGTATAGATTAGACACGCCTGTAACAAGCTCTGGCACAGTGTATTATTACAGAACTGAGCTGGTAAAGTTGAAAGTATTTTGTTGTTATTTTACCCTGCAGGTGTCTTCACCCAGGCTAAGAACCTCTTCACCCCTGGTGGTGTCAGAGTCGGGAGCAAACGCTGCCAAAAACAGACTGTCACCTATCTCTGAGGGTAAGCACTCTCTCCATGCCATACACTTTTTCATTGTGTATGCATTTAGTATGATGAGCTAATAATAGTAAATCACGTCAATCAATTTTTAATTGATGTACATTTTTAAAGCACTGTCTGTTTCCAAGGTAGCCGATATGTCAGGAAAAACCACATTGTATTTTTGCACCTCGTGTGTCCATGGCAACTTAATATACGATACTGTGGATCATTAATTTATTAATTCACTTTTTACTCTGTACTTGTGTGACCCCAAGGTACTCTCTCAAGCAACATGACTTAAATCAATGTACAATTAAGTCTGCCCCCCAAGTGCCCAACCAAAGTGGTAGATGAGTAGGCTGGCTTGATGTCAATGACTCTTTGTAGACACCATTATAATGGGTGTCAATTACATAACGTGACATAACTCTCGCTCTCTCTCTCCCCCCGCTCTCTTCTCCCCCCCCCTCTCCCTCCAACAGAGAAAAAGCCTACCGTTACTGTCGGCCGTTTCCAGGTCACACCCAGCAGAGAGATCCCTGCAGCCTCCGCTAGCCCCGCCCAGGATCCTCCCCAAACCCACCCACAACACCAAACCCCACCCACAGTCACCGTTAGCACCAGCCCTTCCTCCCAGGACAGTGAATCTGAGACCAGCACCGAGGAGCAGGGGGGCGAATCAGAAAACAGCATTAGCACCGTAACCGTGTCCCCTCACCAGCAATCCCCCGGCGGGCCGCTGTGTAACCTAGACATCGCCCACTCCGTCCCTGGAGGCTCTAAGCAGACAGAGCAGGAGGACCAGCAGGAGAGCGAGGAGGAGCCAGACAAGGAGCAAAAGGAGGGAGAAGAGGAGGAGCTGAGGAGAAGGGGGGGCCGGAGGCTGAGCCTGAGCCTGTGGGAGGGTACGGCGGGGAGCCCCCAGTTCAGCGGGAGCAACCTGAACCAGCCCTGGATGAGCTACACACGCAGCGCCTCGTATGTCAGCAGTGACGAGACCGAGAGCGAGGACGAGGATATGTGCGAGGAGCTACAGGAACTCAGGGACAGGTGAGTGGAGGAGAGGAGGCGCAACATTGCTGTTTTTGAAGTTAAGTCTCTGAGGTTGTGAACAAACACACAGGCAAGGTCACCGGTTCCTCCCCAGTCCTCCAAAACAAAACAAACGAGTTATAGCCACACTGTTGATAGGAAATAGAAGTGTGTCTTTATCACTCTAGTTGAATTAAAAAGGCTTCTAAGAACATGTGCAATAAGGTCATAAGCATCGTCATTAGATCATGACATAAGGTTTTGAACATTCTTAGAACCAAATGGTCATTATACCAAAATTATCTTCCAAATTCAAGACCTGACTGTGAAAACACAAAACACCAATTCAAGCTAACTTAATAAAACTCTTCTTACCACTTCTTTTCCCCTGACCTTGACCATCTTCACCTTTCTCAACACTTCCCTGTCCCATTCACTCTCTTGTATTCCCTCCTCCTTGTCCTCTGTTCATGTTCTGTGCCCTCGCTCTCTTTCTTCTTCTCCTCCCCTCCCTCTCTCTCAGGCACCTGTCAGAGGTGCAGGCCCTCCAGCTCACTCAGAAGAGGGAGATCGAGGCGCTGTATGAGCGGATGGGGAAGGTGCCTCCCCCTGGCATTGTGTCCCCCGCCGCTATGCTCAACAACCGCCAGAGGCGCCTCTCCAAGAGCGGCAACTACCCCGGCTCGCGTAGGAACAGCCTGCAGAGACTGGACATACTGCCCCCTGCAGGTCAGTTGGTCTTGTAGTAGTTACGTTGCTGTCTGGTTGGGAGTTCGTTATGACTTAGCTATTCCCTCCATGTCTTACATACACAGGGATCATGCGTAAAAACTCAGTCAGTGGCAGCAGCAGTGGCTCTCAGGAGAGGTCCAGTAAAGGGGTGACCTTTGCCCCCGACTACAACCGGATGGTGAGCGAGCACCCTGTCTGACCCATGACCCCTGAACCCTGACCTTGTCAGTCTGAACAATAACATAGTAAATTTTGACAGGTATAATCCTTATAAAAACCTGTGCAGTGATGCAAATTATATGTTAACGTAGTCACCTTGGTTTTTATTTGTTAACCTGCTTGGTTACACTACGCCCTCTGACCTCTGACCTATCTCCTACTAGTGAGACGTGTCTCCCTGTGTGAGCCGGAGGACTGGGAGTTGGGGCAGGTGATACTGTGGCTGGCCGCCTCCCCTCCCAACCACCAACCAGGAAGAGAGGGAGCCCACTGGTGACCAATAAGTTGCCCAGCCCAGTGCTGAACAGATAGCTCCCAGGTTGAGCCTTGGGGTGGGGAAACCGGATGACCAGAAGACATGGGCCTTTTCTCAATTGGTTTTCTCAACTCTTGTGTCCTCTCTCCTCTGTCCTCTCTCGCCTCCTTTTGAAAAAGGTAATTGAGGAGAGGTAGCAAGGAGAGTGAACGTGGACGAAAATGCGCTTGTATGAAATGAGACTTCTTCTCCACTCAGGCAAATTACGTTTACAAAATAAATGTGTAAAGTGATCAAAACAAATGAAGTTAGTTGTGCAAGACATTTTATAGATACAACTATAAGTAGCATTTTGTTTTTAAACATATGCATGCTTTTCTCCATCAACAAAAAACAAAAGCTGATTCAAAGGGGGTGTGGCAGATTTCTAAATTATTCCGCAAAGGACTCGGGGGGGATACACATGACTATCCTCCATGAAAGGTGGCTAACGAGGAGGGAAGGACACTCTTCCGTTCGCTTCGACTACTTATCAGTTTCTGGGTCACGGAGAAGAGAGGACGAAGGAGAGAGGGTGGAGGACGGACTTTTGCCCAAATGAGAAAAGGCCATGGTCCAGCCACAAGATGGGCCGCACTAAACACTCCTCCTAAGGACGATGGATAAGGATCCCATTGTCAGAGCACCAAAGCACCCCATCTGCCATCTAGTCCATGTGCAGTACCATGAGTTAGTATTGTGACACCAAGCCAAGGATGTCCCCCTCCCCATCTTAAGGATGCTAAGCTTATATAGCTGTGTGTAGCATCAGGTCAAACGGAAAGTGAGGATAGGAAGGCTAAAGGTGTGTGTTTCTGCGTGTGCTCTTATGCTGTTGCTGCCTATGCTAGCCCTGGAAAACACACATCCCAGAAGCCCTGCTCTCTCCTGCACTTAGTCATCCAACTGCTGCAAGCTGCAACTACTCTTAATACAATATGACCCTATTCAATCCGAAGTACTGAAGATCCGCTTTATGTTGCGATTGACAACTAAAGGTCGCGGAGACTGCATTCACGGTGAACGCTGCATATGTCGGCTCAATCAGAAAATACTTTAACATTTTTACGCGGGTCTTCCGCGATACTTCGGTGATATGGATGGAATCCAGCCCTAGCTAAACAGTGTTTTACTGTCCAAATGTTATGAATCAGGAGATAAGATAGCTTTAGCAGGATGAGATGTAATCATTGCCTTCAAAACAGTGTATTTGTAGGGTTTGCAATATTGTATTGCAAACCCTACCCTGTATTGACCGGCAAGTCAGGGAAGCAGTTTTCCATTTTGCAGCTTACTTAGTGTGCCAGGCGAACTAAATCAAGTACACCTAAATAAGAGTAAATCCAAGCGGCCTGCAAGTATCAGAAAAAAATCAGAGCTGTGTTTGGTGCAAACAAATGTTCCTGAAGCAACACAAATCAAACAAATGGTGCATGAAAAGCTAAATGTCACTTTATTGAATCTACACTGAACAAAAATATAAACGCAACATGTAAAGTGTTCGTCCCATGTTTCATGAGCTGAAATAAAAGATCCCAGAAATGTTCCATATGCACAAAAAACGTATTTCTCTAAAATGTTGTGCACAAATTAAGTTTACATCCCTGTTAGTGAGCATTTCTCCTTTGCCAAGATAATCAATCCACCTGGCAGGTGTGGCATATCAAGAAGCTGATTAAATAGCATGATCATTACACAGGTGCACCTTGTGCTGGGAACAATAAAAGGCCACTCTAAAATGGGCAGTTTTGTCACACAACACAATGCCACAGATGTCTCAAGTTTTGCAGGAGCGTGCAATTGGCATGCTGACAGTAGGATTGTCCACCAGAGCTGTTGCCAGAGAATGTAACTTTAATTTCTATACCAACGTCATTTGAGAGAATTTGGCAGTATGTCCAACCGACCTCACAACCGCAGACCACGTGTATGGCGTCGTGTGGGCGAGTGGTTTGCTGATTACAACATTGTGAACAGAGTGCCCAATGGTTGGGGTTGAGTTATGGTATGGGCAGGAATAATCTACGGACAACGAATACAATTGCATTTTATCGATGGCAATTTCAATGCACAGAAATACCGTGACCAGATCCTGAGGCCCATTGTGAGACCCATTTTTTAAAAAAGGTATCTGTGACCAACAGATGTATATCTGTATTCCAAGTCATATGAAATCCATAGATTAGGGCCTAATGAATTTATTTCAATTGACTGATTTCCTTATAAGAACTGTAACTCAGTAAAATCTTTGAAATTGTTGCATGTTGCGTTTATATTTTTGTTCAGTATACAAACACTCCAGGTCTTATAATATACTAAACGTTGTTCATTTGTTACTCACTCTCTATGGCCTAGTAATAGAGGTACTGGGTGTCACTTATCAGCCTTTATTTTTTAAAGCATACAGTGGATGCTTTAAAAACGTATTTTATCTTCTTAATATATGGATTGATACAATGCACTTTCCATAGGGTCGTTCACTATTAGTATTGAACAATTGCGTCCCTATAAATAATAGCGGGGTAAAGATGTATAGTTATGACCCTAATATATTTTAAATCAGTATGCGTGCCTATGCATTTAGAGTTGGTAATTATTTGATTAATGACAAAGAACTGAAGCTGTGGAGAATTCTGAGCTATTTGCCTTCAAGTATGCACATGGGGAACGATTGTAGAACACATTAAATATATTACTCAGATTGTATTATTCTAAATCAAGACATCAACAGTAAATATACAATATATATTTAGATAATGTCATGAGCTCTATTTTGTTGTCAATCATGTTGCTAGAAAACATACTGCCATGCAGATTCTGTGCCTTTACCATTTTTTTTAACCTTCCAAGCGTGATTGTTTCCTAAATCATATTTGTAAATATTGCTAATAAATGACTTCAACATCATGCACTGTTTTCTTGAGTTTTCTTTCCCTGTAGGTTGATGTCCAAAATCATCACGAATTGACTTTGAAAACTCAAAACTGATACACCGTCAAGTAAATAAACAATTTATTACACAGTAATCATCTAATTGCAGCATTACGTTCCATTTCATTCTATAACAACATCCGAATGCCATGGAATAGCCCACCTAACACGTAAGCTTTCCTCTTTATTACGAGGCCAAGTAGTTGCACAATACACAAACCATGTAATATTATTAAACAACCTCTTATTATACAGCAAGTGATATTATATTCAGAAAAAAGTTTGCAGGGTATCCAGGTCTAGAGCATATGTGTATGGTTACATCTCTACAAAGCATATTGAAATAACAAAAATGTATGGGAGCCTCTGCCATTCAAAAACAAGTGTGTATCTGGCGCCATCTTTTGGCCACAGTTGCGTATGTTAGCTTGACAGTCCAGTCCCGTGTGAGCTCAGCGTCCACTGTTCCTGTGCAAGTACGGGAGCTGGGAACATCCCTAGGAATTGGTCCCTGTCCTGGGGCCTCTGATGTAATTGATCTTCGCCTCGTTATCAATGTCCTCCATGATCCTCTCCTGCTTCACTGAGAGGATAGTGTAGCTGACTGAAGACAAGAAATGGTTAAGGCCACAAAACGGGCAGGAGTAACTTGCGCCATATTGAGTGCTGTGGATCCTTTTAGAGCAGTGAGAAATGACACACCACACAAACTAGCTAGGAACCTATTTGGTGACATGACATGCTAACGTTAGCAGCTAGCTAGTGATTATCTAAGAAACATATTGTTTTTGCTTCCTATCATGAATTGGCTATACATTCATAAACCATTTCGCTCTTAAAGAGACAGTGTACAATTATGACTAATTTCAATGACAGGTTTTTGAATCAACATGTTATCTTTTTATAATAAACAAATGTCTTTACAGTTTATAGGGCTCAAATGTAGCTAAAAAATATAGGCCCAATATAGGCTACATCTCAATCAATGTGTAACTGTGTTGTTTTTATCGCACTGCTTTGCTTTATCTTGGCCAGGTCTTAGTAGTAAATGAGAACTTGTTCTCAACTGGCTTACCTGGTTAAATAAGGTGGGGGAAAAAAGAAAGAAAAAAAAACATTCTGCTGCTTCTACATTTTATATGTTGGGATCCTAACTTAAAAAAAAAAAAATGTACATAATAATAATAATATAATATGACACTTAGCAGACGCTTTTATCCAAAGCGACTTACAGTCATGTGTGCATACATTTTTACGTATGTAAAGCCCTATTTGCCGATACTTCCTCAATTCCCGACTTGGAAGATAATGCATGTCCTCTAAACTCCCATGGCTAGTTGCAGGTGGTTCGTTTGAATTTAGAAAATGCTCTGTTATTAAATCAAATGTTTTGCTCCATTAAGTAATCCAACAATGTGTACACTGTCATCTTGTCTAGTTCAAATCTTCCCTCATTGATTAAGACAGCTGGGTGTCCGCCCAGAAAGGCCCGTTGAATGACACCACAGATTATCCATTTTATTGACCAGATACTCTAAGTGGCCGCTCTAACAATGAAAATTAATGTCTTAAAAAAATGAAGGCAGTCAGGAGTAGGCAAATCAGGTGGGTCCATTTTAGCCATTGAGGGCATACGCATGTGAACAGAAACAACTCCGATATAAAGTGTTTATTCTCAAAGTTGCCGGGATGTCACGTCCTCCTTATATCAGTACACTCGTACCAACCTATGCTTTACAAAACTTCTATTCGATGAGCCACATGTAGAAAATAAGCCATTAAATTTTTTACAAATTCGACACTCATTGACCTCCATACAAAAACTCCTCATTTGGTGAGCAGATAAAAAACGAAAAACACCACCTGCTGGAGAAGACAGATTTTGGGCCCAGTTATCCATCTTGCTTCACCTCTTCCTCTCTGATGACACTCACCTGTCTCTATCAATGAGTGTTAGGCTATTCTCAAACCTTAGGACGTCCCTACTCTTTACATTAACTTAAATGGGGGATGGGAACGTCCCAAGGATCCCGGATTGCAGACCATCAATGAGAAGATTTTAAATAGTCAAGATGGCGGTGTACACATTGTTGTGTTAATTCATGGAGAACAAAAATTGACTTTATTTTATATAATAACAGAGCATTTTCTAAATTCAAACAAACCACCAGCAACTAGCCATGGAAGTTTAGAAGACAAGCGTTGTCTTCCAAGTTAGGAATTGAGGAAGTATTGTCAAGTAAATGTTGGTCAAATTCTCTGTGCTACGCTTTACACTACCTAAAAGTATAACGCCTTTCATCCAGCTGGAACAGTATTAATGGTCCGACTGGAGTTATGTATGAAACCCTAGATGAAAGGATACACATGCCGATGACAAACGCCCCGATAGCTAGTCCAGTTATGCGGTTGCGACTACGTATTTTTAGCGCGTTCTTCTTCCAATAGTTGAGATCTTGTCTTTTCATGAGAAGTTGTTTCTGTGCGGCTGTAAGTTGCTCCTTAGAAGCGACCTCTCCAACTCCTTGAACACCCTTTTCAGCCATTTCTGTGTTATGTGTCTGATAAAAGTGACGTAGGTTTTTTCTTCTTTGGTTTGTGACTGTACTGGACAGCCCAACAACTGGTGCATTACCGCCATCTATCGTTTTGGAGTAGCCTACAAAGACCTCACATGCTGGCTGCGTTCCAGCACGTCTTTATTGCAGTCGCGCTGCGCAGACCACCAGTTAGTGGAAAGTAGACTACTCCAGCCATTCACAGTCAATTAAAATGATATTATTCCATCTATAAACGTTGTCTTCAAACTCTCTCAGAGATTTTGCAAATACTTCAATTCAAAGCTTTTGGGTAATGATTTGCAGGGTGTTATAGGCTAATTATTGTCTTCACGCTGTCACTTTAATTAATCCTCAATAATTTAAGGTAAAATAAATCAGTGAAACATTGACATAGAAATTACGTTATTTTATTAAAAGAACATTCATTTATAAGGTAAGATGAACTCTTATGTACAGAGAAAAAACGTTTTTCAAAATATCTTGATATATTGTTGTTGTCCTTGTTCTGTAATAACATTAATACTATAAAAAAGCCATAATGTACAGTTATGCTCTATCTTAATATATTTTCATATGTACTGCCCATAACATACAACCACGTTATGCATAATGAACCACAATATTGTCGCTAGTGGTATTCCTTGATAAATTCACAGCCTTTTTCTAAAGGAGGAAGTAATCAATAAATCCCCATCCCTTAAAAACCACAACTACATTAAGGCTGTGGTATGTTATTTGTATGGCTCTCCAAAAGGATGGCAAAAACAACAATTTTAATTGGTTTGATAAGGAATATTTCATCATTGTATTGTTGATAAGGTAACATTCGGGAAGGTATACCAGATTTAATATTTTTCATAGACTTTAACATATAGTTAAGAGGTCATCCACTCTAAAGACCGATCTGTCTCAGATATGTCACTCCATACCATGGATACAACATCAGAATATTCCCCCAAATACAGTGAGGAGAACAAGTATTTGATACACTGCCGATTTTGCAGGTTTTCCTACTTACAAAGCATGTAGAAGTCTGTCATTTTTATCATAGGTACACTTCAACTGTGTGAGACGGAATCTAAAACAAAAATCCAGAAAATCACATTGTATGATTTTTAAGTAATTAATTTGCATTTTATTGCATCACATAAGTATTTGATCACCTACCAACCAGTAAGAATTCCGTCTCTCACAGACCTGTTAGTTTTTCTTTAAGAAGCCCTCCTGTTCTCCACTCATTACCTGTATTAACTTCACCTGTTTGAACTCGTTACCTGTATAAAAGACACCTGTCCACACACTCAATCAAACAGACTCCAACCTCTCCACAATGGCCAAGACCAGAGAGCTGTGTAAGGACATCAGGGATAAAATTGTAGACCTGCACAAGGCTGGGATGGGCTACAGGACAATAGGCAAGCAGCTTGGTGAGAAGGCAACAACTATTGGCGCAATTATAAGAAAATGGAAGAAGTTCAAGATGACGGTCAATCACCCTCGGTCTGGGGCTCCATGCAAGATCTCACCTCGTGGGGCATCAATGATCATGAGGAAGGTGAGGGATCAACCCAGATCTACACGGCAGGACCTGGTCAATGACCTGAAGAGAACTGGGACCACAGTCTCAAAGAAAACCATTAGTAACACACTACGCCGTCATGGATTAAAATCCTGCAGCGCACGCAAGGTCCCCCTGCTCAAGCCAGTGCATGTCCAGGCCCGTCTGAAGTTTGCCAATGACCATCTGGATGATCCAGAGGAGGAATGGGAGAAGGTTATGTGGTCTGATGAGACAAAAATTTAGCTTTTTGGTCTAAACTCCACTCGCCGTGTTTGGAGGAAGAAGAAGGATGAGTACAACCCCAAGAACACCATCCCAACCGTGAAGCATGGAGGTGGAAACATCATTCTTTAGGGATGCTTTTCTGCAAAGGGGACAGGACGACTGCACCGTATTGAGGGGAGGATGGATGGGGCCATGTATCGCGAGATCTTGGCCAACAACCTCCTTCCCTCAGTAAGAGCATTGAAGATGGGTCGTGGCTGGGTCTTCCAGCATGACAACGACCCGAAACACACAGCCAGGGCAACTAAGGAGTGGCTCCGTAAGAAGCATTTCAAGGTCCTGGAGTGGCCTAGCCAGTCTCCAGATCTCAACCCCATAGAAAATCTTTGGAGGGAGCTGAAAGTCTGTGTTGCCCAGCGACAGCCCCGAAACCTGAAGGATCTGGAGAAGGTCTGTATGGAGGAGTGGGCCAAAATCCCTGCTGCAGTGTGTGCAAACCTGGTCAAGACCTACAGGAAACGTATGATCTCTGTAATTGCAAACAAAGGTTTCTGTACCAAATATTAAGTTCTGCTTTTCTGATGTATCAAATACTTATGTCATGCAATAAAATGCAAATTAATTACTTAAAAATCATACAATGTGATTCTCTGGATTTTTGTTTTAGATTCCGTCTCTCACAGTTGAAGTGTACCTATGATAAAAATTACAGACCTCTACATGCTTTGTAAGTAGGAACACCTGCAAAATCGGCAGTGTATCAAATACTTGTTCTCCCCACTGTACATGTACACCTACAGTAATATATATTTTCTTCTTAAAACGAAACATGAGCCCATTGCCAGGTATTGTCATCGGATCCATGGCAAACTTTTGATCTGTCACCGTGTTCATCAATTTTCCCCTTTTCCCTCAACTTCCTTTTGTCAATGTTGTTGGGAGTGGAAGTACCAAACAGATGGATGAATGGATGGGTGGACAGCACAAGTTTGAAACTTGGGATGAAGGTTGAAGACTTGGAGCTACCACAGTTAAATGCTAGTTCACTGACAGAAAAAAACCTCCCCTTTGCCATCTTTTACCAAATTTAGCAACCCATGTAACTATCAGTCTTTTCCCAGGACTTGGCAATCCCCATTGTCTCTGTCCCCCTTGACTCATTGATGCCATAGAAAATGTCTCAGCTGGGGGCAAACACCGTCTCAAACTCTTTGAGGATGAGCTCCACAATCTGGTTCTGGAAGACCATGTAAACAGTGATGTTTGCCGACTCAGTCTGGGGCCTGAGTAACGTAGGGCCAAACACGATGGCCACACTCTGGACTGACATACGGTTCTTTTCACCAAACTCAATCACTCTGGAAGAGAAGAAGAGGAGGGGATGAGGAGAAGAGGGAGTGAGAGGAAGTATGAGGAGGGTGGAAAGTGTTTAGTATATCAGTTATTTATATAGTTTTAATAGTTTTATATAAAAATATATATATATATAAAAAATTGCCGGTTCTACCACAACAAGCACTCACTTGAGGAGGTGTTTGAAGAGGAGGTGCATGGTGTCATGGTTGGGCAGAGGGAGGGACCTCACCAGGTCACGGAAGTACGACACCTTCTGGGGATAGTCCTGGATTTCTACCAGAGAAAGTGTCATCCCAAATGTCCATTTATTCACATCCTTTCATGCTATTTAGGTCTGATGTCAGTTCATTATCATCATGTTATTTGAGTGTGACTATTGAGATGCATCCAGAATGTTTTATTAGGGCCTGGCCTAGACTTACTGATGGCAGCGATGAACTTGTCGAAGAAGCTGTAAGGGAAGAGAGGTTCAGGCAGCTCCCTCAGGAAGAGCTTCAGCGCCCCCGTGATCACATGGATCTCCTCCCACTGACCATCCTCCAGGTCCAGATTTTCCTCTGGCGGGAGGGAGGGAGGGAGAGAGAGCATGAGGACAGAGAGTGTGGTTGATAATACTGCAAGATAATCCATTGAAACTTGTCTTGTTTTACCATGATCTGCTTTGTGGCGTAGTCTCTGAATGACAGCTAGATTCCCACTAACTCTGTAGATCCCATCAATGTCCAGACCTAAGGGGAATGCACAATGTGTTACCTCTTTAGAGCTGGTAAAGGTTGATATTATGTTATCAGGATTAAAGAATACCTACCTCTAATCTCCACTGCCCTGATGCACTTCTCCATAAACCTGGGCACAGTGCTGTTCTCTCGATGGCACAGGGTGTCCAGATGACAACCAAACACATTATCTAGAGAATCACGATGAAAATAATTCTGAGTAGTGTAAAGGTATCATAAGATTCAATAGGTAATTATTCTGCTATAAATCATATAACCATGTTATAAAGCCCAGTCTTACCTCTTATGTAGCCCTTCTCCTTCACTGACTGCAGTGTGGGCCTCCTCTGGAGAAACTTGCGTAGTTTGGTGCGGACACGCCCCTGATCTGATGACTCGGCACTGATGCCTGGCGTAATTTTGGTGGCTGCAGGAGGGGGGAGGGGGCAATTAATGATGGGTGCAGCTTTCGTAAACTACCTGATCTCATGCCCAGTTCTCAAATATCGACATTTTACACCTATTTACACCCCTAAAGCATTGAAAGATCTGGTGGTTCGTAATAGTAGGTTGTAGGACACTCATACGTACAGATGGTCCTCTTGTCTCTCTCTGAAGCAAGTGGAGATTTCTCCATAGGCTCCTCCTCTTCCTCTTCCGACAAGTGATCTTGGTCCTGAGAGAGGAGAGGTTATAATGAAGACTGACGCCCCCTTGGCCTGCTCTAATTAGAACTTGTTATATATATACCTCCTGGATACTCACCAGCTGTCTGACGGTGTCCAGTATGATCTTGTGCCAGTCACAAATGATGCTCTCTGTGTCATACTGGACCAGGTACTCACACCCATGACGCGTCTTCAACTGGAGCGGGAGAGGGAAAAAGCCATACCAAGAGTTCAATTAAATTAATTTTGATTCAGTTCCTGAATTGAATGAAATGGAACTGACTTCAACCCTGATAGACCTTAAACAGAGCCCATACCTCCAGTACGTTCTTCTTGCTGGACTTGTCCTTGGGGGCCCAGCCCACAGTGGCTCCCCGCAGCTCCACTGTGTACTCTGGGGTGATCTGATTGGTCTTGTTCTGAGGAATCACGGACCAATGACATTCATTCAACAGACTAATCCTGACAAGCAAATACAATGACCTTATTTTCTAAAGTGGTGGTTGTGAGTGGTTACTGTAGCAGAATGTTCTTACAGAGTTTCCAGAGGGTGCAGATTTTGGGTCTTTGTGAAACGTGAGGATGCCACCATGCAGCACTGTCCACGACTGACTCCAATTCTTCCTATTAGAAACCCCAGACACAGAAAATAAGGAATCATTCAGTGTTCATTCATTGGTCCATTGTGCAAATGCTATCAATAAACATCACAATGTGTTGTAATTTTTGAGGTTTACTTGACATTACCTAATTCTTTTCCCATTGTCAGCCACCCTGGTTTTGTTCAGGATCCCTGCCTTCTCCAGTAGATGTGTCTAAAACAAGCAAAATAGAGACAAATATTACCAAATATCACAAATGACAGAGAGAGAGTGTATGAACATTTCTACTAATGGTGATTATCAGGAACCCACAGACCTCGGATCAGGTTGAAAGATTGTGTTAGTCATAGTGTACTGTACGTACATCAGTGGAGGCTGCTGAGGGGAGGACAGCTCATAATAATGTCCGGAATGGAGTGAATGGAATGGTATCAAACACATGGTTTTCATGGTTTTTACTGACATACATAGGTACATGAGTTAAGAAGTTAGTACCCACATAGAGACATATGCCACTGGACATTGCCCATAGGCCTACTGGCTGATATGAACATTGGACTGTTCATATTAGCAGATTATTGCAATTGTGGACTATAATTTTAGGCCTGGATAAAGTATTTCTGTGACTTTGCAATGCATATGCTAGGCCACTAGGTGGCAGCAACAAATGTTTGTGTTGGCCGTTCCAGGTTATGCTGAATTCTTGGGCTATGAGGCCATAGGTAAAGAGCAAAGAGCATAAGTAGCAGATTCTTTACAGCTTTGAAATGTGAGTCAGGTGTCAACATGGGTGTGGTCAAACTTTAGTATGTGTGTGTGTGTGTTGTGTGTGTGTGCATCTGTGCATGAGTGCACAATTATACATGCTTGGGCGTGAGTGTGTGTGTTTGCATGGATTTTCCTGCTGATTCATAAAATGGGAAATTATCCTTTGGGGTTGACTTTGCTTATTGCATTGACATTCAGCACTTTGACATTACTGTACCTACTACAAAAGACAGCACCATATGTACATTCAGTACAATTATTTGAAAGGCAATGCAATAAAATATGGTGTCAATCAGATCTGAAAGTACTGCCCAACAAGCCACAACTTGCAAAAGTCCAACAAAAACAACTACAAATGCTCACTCTCTCCACTAGGGGGTAGTGTGAATGGTGGTCTATCATGACACGATCATTTAGCACAGGGTTGATTCAAATCATCAAAGCTTGATGATGAGTTGGTTATTTGAATCAGCTGTGAGTGCTAGGGCAAAAACCAAAACGTGCACCCAGGGGGGGCCCCAGGACCGAGTTTGGAAAACCCTGATTTAGCAGATGCTTGTTATCAAGATCACTTTCTTATCCACACACGAAGCGAAGAGAGAGAACAACCCATCCAAAGTTAGTAGTTTCACTTAAACACCACTTAAGAAACTCTTAATCATCCATTTTAAGAGCATACATGTATAGTATGTACTGTAACCAGTATCTAAACCATTAGCTCCCCTTCCCAAGTGCCGTTAGTTCTCCTATCCAGTTCTCTCATAGTATGTTAGTTAGATAAGAACACCCACACACCACCAGAATGCAATGCCTGTCTGGCAAAGTACACTATGCATCTATCTATCAGGCCTGACGTGGGCCGAAAGAACCTACGTGCTCATGATGTGAGTCTGTGCTCAGATGTGACAGTCTACTCCGTACTCCCAACCTATCAGTCTTTATGGAGAAAACAATACAAGTCTTCAATTAATGGAATAATGGGTCTTCAGGCTCTGTCATTTAGCAGTCTATGTGTACTGTCTGTACAATATAGTAAATTTTATTGAGTTAGTAGAAGGGTTGGGGTCAATTCCATTTCAGGAAATTAATTAATTAAATTAATAAAATTAACAATAAAATCATTGTTGAAAAATAATGCAATTTCCAATTCAATTATTGTGTGTACTAGTCCAACACATATCATTTCTTATTGAGTGCCAATAGAAAATGACCTGACAAAGATCCCTATGGATTCAAAACCTTATCGTGTCGTACGTTCTTACTGTACTTACATGGTGTGGCGTCTCGGGGGAGTTGCCTGAGCTGGATGCTTCACTGGTGACGTCCGAAACGTTTCTCTTATGTGTTGGAAAGAACCTCTGCCAAACGCGAGGGAGGGAATTGGGTTCAGGTTGGTTAGTCAACAATAGTCGATAGGGCCTTATTGTTCGAACAGAGCTTCCCTCTTCAGTAGAAATCCTGTCAAATCTTATGAGTCATAATTCTATCCGCTTTCTCCCCTCCTCCTCCATTCTTGTTGTAGTTTCTCCCATTTAGGTTTGTAAGTGACCTCCTGAGAGGAAACCAACTAGGGCAGGTGTTTCCATCTCCTGTTGAGGGGGTCGACGATGACACATACACAACGACATCATTCCACAAGGGCATTGTGCATAAAGCTGTGAGGGCCAGGTGTCTCATGTCAGGGACTAGTCCTAATGGCTTGTTTGCTTGGGAATACTAGAACTGCAAATGCAGCAGTTTCTATGTTCCTATACCGTAGTGCCAAATTCAGTCTAGATGCCAAAAATAGATTCTAATGGCCCATAAATGTCTGTTACTATACCAACGGTGTGAAACCCCCTTCAACGCCCCTGTCCATGCTACTCACGTTGTCTTCTTGGGAGGGGCCAAACTGAGCTGGGCCCATGGTGTGTCTCCAGTTCTTCAGAACCGGCGGGCTGTCCTGGTCCACTCCATTCCCCACCTTGGGCAGACTGGGTGCAACCAGGAGCTGAGAGGGTTAACAGAAACAAACAATGTAAAGGCCCTGGCCTATTAAATCAAACCCAGTAACTGGTTATCTGAGGTAAGGACATTTTATTTTCACCCATGTACAGTACAGAGTTACCCCATACAATGTCAAGCTCTTTGAGACCTTGTAGAAAGTCCTATATAAAAGCCATTCAACCATTCCTTGAAATTACAGTATTGCTTCTCTTCACCTCTGCTGGAAGGTTCCACTGGGATCTAGAGCCGTCTCTCAGGTAGTAGTACGTCTTTCCTTTTTGATCCACAGACTTGAACCACTGCCAGGATACACACAGGACAAAACAGTGTATGACACACACTGCATGGTTTCTCAAACCACTACCCTTTGAAAGCACTGGACCTCCATTCAATAAACTTACCTGCTCCTGTGTGCGTTCGCTGGTGAATACGGTCTTCCCATCTGCATCCATGGAGCGCTTCCAGCCCGCCGGGACACTGACGTCTAGAATGGCCCGAGGTATGACAGCCTGTTTGGCCTGCGGCATGGGCAGGAGGTCTTTGGGGAACACCAAGGAGGAGATGTCTGGAGCCTCGTGGTCTTCTGTCAGGTAGTCTTCCTTTGGGAGAGGTGGCTGAGGAACAGAAGATTCGCAAATGCTTTTAAGATGGAACTCAAACTGAGTGGCCAATTTATAAAAAGTTTATGACATGGTTCATAACATGCTAGAATTCTGCTCAAATGGCAAACATTCTTAGTAACTTGGCTAGTAACACTTTGAGAATAAACAGCAAAAAACTAAATAATGAATTCCATGCGTATGCCATAGCAGGCTTAAGACTTAACTAGCTAATGAACTAACAAAACAAGACTCCCTCAAGACCATGAAGCAGATGTTAATGCACTGTTGTCTGACAGAGACTGCTTTAGCAGTCAACAATCCAACAACACTTTCCACGGTCCTATATTTTAGAAGCCTTATCTGTTGATGAGCTTGAAACAATGGCCATATTAGTCAAATAAAGCATAAGCTAACCCCTACCGGTCCTCCGTCTGGGAGCTTCAGCACAGGAGGCTCAGTAACAGGAGAGGAAGGGGAGATGGGCACCGGAGCTGCCCAGGACGTGGCCCCAGATGAGGGGTTATAGAAGTAGTTTAGACCGGTGGTCTCATCCAACACCTGTTCCCAGTTGGAACCCTTGGATGAGGCTGGTGAGAGGGCCGGGGCCGGGGAAAGGGCCGGGACAGCCAGTGCCTCCTTGGGTAGCTCCATGTCCGTGGAGGGGAGGGGGCTGCGGGGGTCGGTCCAAGTGGTTTGGCCCGTGGCCGGGTGGTAATAGAACTCTTTCCCGCTGTCCTTGTCAGTGTGCACCTGCCATCCCTCCTGGCTAAGGGGCAAGTCAGGACTCAGAGCTACTACCAGAGGGGATTGTGGGGTGTTCTTCAGCTCGGTAACGTTGGCGTAAACAGCAGTGTTGGGGCTGGCATTCTCCACCTGGAGACAGAGAGGAAAGAGAGGTAAGGTCAGTCATCAGGAATAACATGAGGAGGAAGAAACTTTTCACCCCCAGTCCTAAATGGCCAGCGAGCCACTAGTCAATAATATCTTGTGCTCTATATGAACAGAGTACTGACAGCCTGCGTACTACTACCCAACCTCACCTTATTTGCAGTGAAGCCAATGGCCCCATCAGCCCCTATGAGAACAATCCGTGAGAATCTCCACAAGACAAAAGACAGAGGGGTAAAAAGTCCTCTCTACCTGCGCCTCCCTTTACTCTCATCGGGTAACAAACCACTGACTTGGGATCAAATATCAAATGGGATCAAATATCATTCTCCCAACCCCTTTGTTTGGATATGCTGAGTTACCCAACTCATCACAATTTTCAAATTCTTCATAAAGGAGTACAGACAACACCACCATTAAATTGTAAGCTGCCTTTTTTCAGTTTTATTGGAAATGGCCATTCGACAGTAATATCCGCATCCAAAAAGTGATCTGTCCTGTTAATGTATTTTCCGAACCCTCCATACATCTCAGGGGTGAGGAAGTGAAGAGCAAAACATCCCATCTCAAACAGAGTAGATTTCCACCACATGGAGTGGAGTAGATCACAGGGAGCTATGTGGCAGATAGCCACTTCATAGACAAACACAAGCACATTTCAACATGAGTCAGACCAGCAGATGATAAAAAGCTATAAAGACTGGGGAAGTTTGGACGACAACGCAGAGGATGTCACAGCTAACTTCGCAAACAGCAAAATACAGTATTGTAGGCCACATTTACATTCGAGTAATGTAGCATACACTCTTACCTAGAGCGACTTACAGGAGCAATTAAGGTTAAGTGCCTTACTCAAGAGCACATCAACAGATTTTTCACCTAGTCGACCTTTCGGTTACTGGCCCAACGCTCTTAACCGCTAGGGTACCTGCCGCCCTCACATGTAGTCTAAGTACTGCTGGCATAGAATTTAATATGTATTTACATTGGCACATAGACACAAAAATTAGGACAGGCTTAGTGAAATGACCATAAAGTCTTAGAATAGTGGTCAGGAAGGAAAATACCATAATTGGGAAGCACCACCCTTAGGTACTTACCTGGGAGACACCCAGAAAGGTCACAAGTCTGTGCCTGAAGATACGGCAAGCCTTGAAGATCATGTCGGTCATATTCACTGAAAAAGGCACCTCTTCGAACAACGTAATTATCAAATATGTTACATCCCATCAGGGATATAACCTTTTAACCAGTAGATCCAAAAGCAGAAGTGTTGGCAAGGACATACCACAGGTTTTTCAGATCATGTACCAGTTCCTTCTTTTGATTACTACCTGGCTTGAAGAGGTACTTTTTCAGCTTTGAAAACATTTAAAAGAAATGTTGAAAATGCCAGAGACCAGGGAATAACTGTCTTCGGGTTGCACCTTGTAAAACATACATTCTTCATTAAAAAAAACAGCTTTTAAAGAAAAGCCTGACTCATAGGTAAGGTTTCTTTGGTATCGGCAAAGGATCTTAGCAGGACTCCTCTGTGTACCACATACACTGGCCTGAACACACAGACAGATTAACTTATTTAGAAGTCAGTTAAGAACAAATTCTTATTTACAATGACGGCCTACCCCGGCCAAACCTGGATGACACTGGGCCAATTGTGCACCACCCTATGGGCCTCCCAATCGCAGCCGGATTGTGATACAGCCTGGAATCAAACCAGGGTCTGTAGTGACGCCTCTAGCACTGAGATGCAGTGCCTTAGACCGCTGCGCCACTCGGGAGCCCCTGACTATACCAACCTAAATACCAACCTAAATACAAGAGAAACCCAAATAAGATACATGCCTGGGTGGAGGGAGGGAGTCGACTGTCCAACTGTCATTTCCTCTCTAGATGGGCTAATGGAAGTTTTGAACATAAACAAACATCCCAGTTGGGTCGTTTTGTTTGTATACTGCTTACAACATCTCGGCCGTAAAGTACCTGTGTAATACTCATGCAAGTATAAAGTAAAACACTAGAACACATTAATACACACATACCTCTATGCATGAAGGTACTCTAAAGTCTAAAATGCATTGTATAGACGAGGGGTATACATTGAGTGTACAAAACATTAGGAACACCTGCTCTTTCCATCACATAGACTGACCAGGTGAATCCAGGTGAAAGCTATGATCCCTTATTGATGTCACATGTTAAATCCACTTCAATCACTGTAGATGAAAGGGAGGAGACAGGTTAAAGAAGGAATTTTAAGCCTTGAGACAATTGGGTATTGTGTATATGTGCCATTCAGAGGGTGAATTGGCAAGACAAAATATTTAAGTGTCTTTGAACGGGGTATGGTAGTAAGTGCCTGGCGCACTGGTTTGAGTGTGGCAAGAACTGCAACGCTGCTGGATATTTCATGCTCAACAGTTTCCCGTAAGTATCAAGAATGGTCCACCACTCTAAGGACATCCAGCCAACTTTAAACAACTGTGGGAACCATTGGAGTCAACATGGGCCAGCATCCCTGTGTAACGCTTTCGACACCTTGTAGTCCATGCCCCAATGAATTGAGGCTGTTCTGAGGGCAAAAGGGGGTGCAACTCAATATTAGGAAGGTGTTCCTAATGTTTTGTACACTTAGTGTAGGTATATGTGTGCATGATGCAACAGATGACAACATCATAAAAATAACTCCAGACTCTTCTACCAACATAATTGTTTTGTTATTCAAATGGACCCTGCGACAGACACACCCTAGCAACCACCTGGGTTACAAACCTGCAGGCTAGAGGATGATGCTCACAATCCTAGAATTACTATATAATAATCACTATACAGTTCTGCTTAATTAGACAAAGTAACAAACGTTACAAAGTAATAAACATACTTTGGGCAATGAGAGCATGGGCAGCAGTAAATATGCAAGCAAAACTCAAAACAAACACTCACTTACTTTCAAGTTTCGGTTAACAACACCTGATAAGTTCTTCTTTGCGGTGGGAGAGTTGTCTTTGGAATGTGGCAGTGGCTACTGGCTACACATTCAGGTTAAAACGTCAAAACCTGGCTGTGGAAAGCCCCAGTTTTTATAAAGTAGATATGAATGAAGCTTAGCCTACCCCTCTTCATTTACAGTAGTAACACTACAATAAGCAACAAGTGCAGGTGCATGTAGCAGAAGAAACTGAAATGCTATTAATAACAGATGCGTAATAGTAATAAAAGTGATTGTGGTGATGATTATCTTTCAATCAACCGGAAGCACATAGTTTCTTATGTGCTAAAGCCTCCAAGCTAAATAGCATATCAGCCTCCTCAAACCAAACCAAATTGAAAGGATACCAGAATGACAGGTTCAAACAAAGCAATGTTAAAACATTTTGCCAGTCAGCAATACATGTCATGCCAACCATTTGTTTGGAGTCAAAGTGGAAAGCGGCAATATGGTGACTTTTTGTCATCTCTCTATGATAGACCTACTGTCACAGAAGGAGAAGAGATAACACACCTTTACATCAGATTATGTTCCTGGCTGCATGTATCCAAGCAGGTCATGCTCAAGTATTAACTTTGTGCTTGTGACTCATTGTCAATGATTGATATCTACTAGCAATGAAAACCAAGATGGCATTCCTCCCTTGTAGTGTGACCCCTTCCCCTGGCATGGCTGGGGCAAACCTTGTCATGCCCGTCATCATTATATTATCACACTTACAATTAAATCAAGCCTTTTGACATTGCATAAACAGGAACAAGGAAGTCAATGACAATTACAGATGTACATACTTTACCCAATGTGTCCTTTATGATAATGTAATTGTGTATAATGTGCCAGAATATTAGAGAAATTACAACGGATTGACACTTTACGGTTTAAAATGAACTACAACTGATTGACACTTGATGGTTTAAATGTACTATTGTAAAACCACTGTACTGGAATAGAGATACACTGAGTGTACAAAACATTAGGAACACCTGCTCTTTCCATGACATAGACTGACCAGGTGAATCCAGGTGAAAGCTATGATACCTTATTGATGTCACTTGTTAAATCCACTTCAATCAGTGTAGATGAAGGGGGGAGACAGGTTAAAGAAGGAATTTTAAGCCTTGAGACAATTGAGACATGGATTGTGTATGTGTGCCATTCAGAAGGTGAATCAGCATGACAAAATATTGAAGTGCCTTTGAACGGGGTATGGTAGTAGGTGCCAGGAGAACCAGTTTGAGTGTGTCAAGAACTGCAACGCTGCTGGGTTTTTCACGCTCAACAGTTTCCCGTGTGTATCAAGAATGGTCCACCAACCAAAGGACATCCAGCCAACTTGACACAACTGTGGGAAGCATTGGAGTCAACACGGGCCAGCATCCCTGTGGAACGCTTTCGCCACCTTGTAGTCCATGCCCCAATGAATTGCGGCTGTTCCGTGTGCAAAAGGGGGTGCAACTAAATATTAGGAAGGTGTTCCTAATGTTTTGTACACTCAGCATATATGGACAGATTGGAACTATATTAGAGCATAATCTCAGTCTCGCTTTATACTGTCTTCATCTTAACTCTTCGAACGCTCACTCAGTATTGACCATAGAAATCAGGTGAGGTGACTGAATGCTGCATGGCAGTGAGTGCCACATGGTTTCCTGGTTGTTGTCCCTTTCCTTTCAATCAACCGTGGACTCACTCATCAATTCCTCATATCGATAAACTGAAGAAGAAAAAACTGCTGACACTATCTAGGTGTAAATAGACAAGAGTTATGGACCCATATTGAGCCTGTAGGTAAACAGGCGGCTCTTGTGGGCCAGAAATGCACATGAGATATTTAGAGTAATAGTAAGTAGCCTATAGAGCATTACATAAATACCCCCCTACAGAACAAGAACACAATCAATACCTGGGCTATTTTGCATCTGAGGGTCAACCACTGTGTATGTCAGAGGTCATTGACAGACACTGTGGTCTATGTCATTTTCATATACAGTATATTGACAAGATAAGTCAACTGGAGGAAGGTAATGTTTTAAAAAATGGACTGTGTGCTCAAATAATATGAGGCTATTGCCAGTGGCCAAAATGAAATTTGATAGAAATGAATGCTTGCTCTGAATCACTGTAATTTACACTACATTTACTGTTACACTTAGTAGCTATTAACGCGGGTAAAATCCTATTTAAACAGAGCAAAAC